AATGACGTTGAATGGACCACTCAAGGTCATCTCCCCTCAAGCTCATCTGAAGAAGTGTGTTTCCCTACGAAAGCTCATGACACTCTGTATATTTTTATTAGTCTCTAAGTTGCCACAGGACTACTCTTGCTTCATATTATTGTTATTTTTATAAGCACCAGGGGTCACCGAATGAGAATAAGGCCCTATTGGCCGTCTACTGCTAGTACTTTTCCACCTGCCTTTCCGTTGCTGGAGTCTTTCCTTGTGCCGTGCACCACAATTACTCCACAATCTGCCTGCCACTGGGGTGTGTAGCTACACAAGCAGAGCCTGACATACAGGGCCTGCCCTAGAAATGTGTCTGCTCCTGCCCTCAATAAACAGAGAAGGAAAATGTTATTTGACACACTTGGAATTCCGATACCTAGCGAGGTTGATTTCAGCATCAGACCGACCTTCATTACCAGGCTGAGGAATCTTGCAAAATGACAAGCCTTCTGCTAATAAATCCAAGCGTTTCTGACCAAGAAACTTCAGGCTGTGTAGCTGGGTTCCATCATCTGAAGAGGCCATTTGTGTGTGTGTCCTGTTATTCAAACATGAATTGAACCCTTCTGCAATAGCTTTGCAATTCCAGCTAGGTCCTTGGAAGGGTTCATGGGCTAGCGATCCGGCTGGTTGCCACTAAGAGAGGGAGATTCTCAGCCTCTCTCTAGGAAAGGTTCAGTGTTTGCAGCTAACAGGTTTTTTTGAAAGGAGCACACATACAGAGAAGAACATCAGAACGGCCAGACGGGGTCAGACCAAAGGTCCATGCAGCCCAGTGTCCTGTCTGCCCACAGTGGCCAATGCCAGGTGTTCCAGAGGGAGTGAACAGAGCAGGGAACCATCAAGTAATTTCTCCCCTGTCTTCCATTCCCAGCCTATGACAAACAGAAGCTGAAGACACCGTTCCTACCCAGCCTGGCTAATAACCATTGATGGACCTAACCTCCATGAGGAATAAAAGAAAAGCAAACTCACCTGTCTTCCAAAAAGAGACTGCAGACCTTCAGAATTGTAAAGCGTGCTCCCCAACATAGATAGGAAAATGGATAGATTGAAATTAATGTTTTATCACCATATAGCCCAGAAAGATAAATATTTATCTCTCCCTCTCTCAATCTATCTATCTATCTCTCTATCTATCTATCTATCTATCTATCTATCTATCTATCTATCTATCTATCCCTACACACCCCCTCTATCTATCTATCCTTGCTCTGTCTCCTTCTCTCTTCTTCTCCCTGCATCTCACAAATACAACATGTAATACTGTCTGCTACACTTGATTCTGAAGAAGCCAGCTCCCACAAAGTAGAGAGGCGACGCATGGCTATTGATCTCACTTATACCATTCTCTTCTCCACCCCTCTCCTCTTGCAAAATAAAATCTTTTCTTCCTCCCCCTCTAACAGCAGGAGGAGTTAATTGCGTCAAGGGGGGTTAGAATACTTTTTGGTTTCCTCTGGGGAAAACATCTCGTGGGTAGGAATTGAACAGGGTTCTGGGTCAGTATTGAGTGAATGTTTTGCAGAGGTTTATAGGACAGATCCAGAAAGCTTGATATGCTTTGATTTATCGTATTTAATGGTTCATTTGTGTGTTCTGCACTAGATCTTCAGATAGGCTGTGTCTAGACTGGCAAGTTTTTCCGCAAAATCATCTGCTTTTGCGGGAAAACTTGCCAGCTGTCTACACTGGCCGCTTGAATTTCCCCAAGAACACTGACGATCTCATGTAAGATTGTCAGTGTTCTTGCAGAAACACTATGCTGCTCCCGTTCGGGCAAAAGCCCCCTTGCTCAAATCATTTGCTCAAGAGGGCCAGTGTAGACAGCACAGGACTGTTTTGCGCAAAAGAGCCCCGAAGGCTAAAATGGCGATCGGGGCTTTTTTGCGCAAAACCGCGTCTAGAAAAAAAGTGCTTTTGCAGAAAAGTGTCCGTGCTAATCTAGACGCTCTTTTCCGAAAATGCTTTTAACAGAAAACTTTTCTGTTAAAAGCATTTCCGGAAAATCATGCCAGTGTAGACGTAGCCTCAGTGATGAGCAAGGCCAGATATCAATTGATACGTTTGATTTTTGGCGATTTTCTACGCTGCTCCCAGGGAGAAGCAGAGTCCTCTAACCAGCGGGCACTAGATTCATTCTTATATTGGCCATTTTTCTCGCCGCCCAATGACTCTTCTATTCCTTGGCCAGCGTGGAACAACTTTTAACTGGGGAGAGAGGAGAAGCCAGGCACACCCGACTATCTCACTGCACAGTGGAGAGGCAGTCACAATGGCGAAGGCAGAAGGCAGGAATCAAACGCCCATCGTGGAACGGATCCTCTTAGGATTCGGGAACGACCCTGAACTGCAGCCCCTCCTCTTCTTGGTGTTCTTAGTGATCTACATTGTGGCTGTGGTTGGGAACCTCCTCATCATTGTGCTAGCGGTGGTCAATCGGCACCTTCACACCCCTATGTACTTCATCGTGGCCAACTTGTCCGCTGTGGAGACCTGCTACGTTTCCATCACCCTGCCCAGACTGATAGGCAGTCTCGCAACTGGGGACAGAACCATTTCTCTTCACAACTGCATTGTGCAATTCTATGTGTATATTATCCTGTCCAATGCAGAATGCATGCTGCTCACGGCCATGTGTTACGATCGGTATCTAGCGATATGTCATCCCCTCCGCTACGCCGCTCTGATGAACGGCCGGGTCTGTTGCCACATGATGTCATCATTCCCCTTTATTCGTCTTTGGTGAGGCCACATCTGGAGTACTGTGTCCAGTTCTGGGCCCCCCACTACAAAAAGGATGTGGACGCACTGGAGAGAATCCAGCGCAGGTCAACAAAAATGATTCTGGGGCTGGAGCGCATGACCTATGAGGAGAGACTGAGGGATTTGGGTTTGTTTAATCTGCAGAAGAAGAGTGAGGGAGGATTTGAGAGCAGCCTTCAACTCCCTGAAGGTGGTTTCCAAAGAGGCTGGAGAGAGGCTGTTCTCGGTGGGGGCAGGTGGCAGAACAAGGAGCAATGGGCTCAAGTTGCATTGTGGGAGGTCTATATGGGATTGGATACGAGGAAAAATTATTTCCCTCGGAGGGTGGGGAAGCGCTGGGATGGGTTCCTAGGGAGGGGGTGGAATCTCCATCCCTAGAGGTGTTTAAGTCCCGGCTTGACCAAGCCCTGGCTGGGATGATTGTGTTGGGTTGGTCCTGCTTTGGGCAGGGGGCTGGACTCGATGACTTCTGAGGTCTCTTCCAGCCCTATTGATTCTAGGATTCCCTTCCCAGCTCTGCTCTGGATCTGATGAATCACTTTACGCTCTCTGTAGCTCACATTCCTTGTATGTAATGAGGGGATAACGTCAACAAAGCCTCTGTTGACAAAGAGCATCTAGACTACAGGCAGTTCTGTGGACAAAGCAAGCCACTTTTTCGACAGAGAGTGTAGATGGTCTCTTTACAAAAAGCACAGTGTGGATGCAAAAGCGCCTTTTGTCGACAGAACTCTGTTGACAAAGGCGTTATTCCTCGCAGAATGAGGTTTACCGCCATCGACAAAACTGCCACGTTCTGTCGACTTACCATCAACAGAACGCGGCGGTAGTGTAGACGCGACAAAACCCTGTAGTTCCTGTATGTGTCTGCACGGCCAGGAAACACCCCTGGGTGGCAGGAGTAGCCTGGAGCGGTGCCTGGGCCTCGGGCCGCGGGCATGTTTCACCGCAGTGTAGATGCCTCTGAAAGGCAGAAAGGTCCTAGAGCTTGGGTTGCACCTGGGGCCAGAATGTCTACACGGCACCGAGCAAATCCCTTGCCAGAGTCGGCCGGCCTGGGTCAGCTACAGGCGTCTCCTGGCAGTGTAGAAACAGCCTTGGAGGGCTGGATGCAGCCTCAGGGTGGGAACACAAGGGGGCGCTGCAGCTGTGTTACTCTGGGACTGGGGTAACACAGGGGCCATGGGGCAGGATGAATGGGCACTGGCAGAGGCGTGGGGTGGGTCTCAGAGCTAGGTAACACAGGGGCCATGGGGCAGGATGAATGGGCACTGGCAGAGGCGTGGGGTGGGTCTCAGAGCTAGGTAACACAGGGGCCATGGGGCAGGATGAATGGGCACTGGCAGAGGCGTGGGGTGGGTCTCAGAGCTAGGTAACACAGGGGCCATGGGGCAGGATGAATGGGCACTGGCAGAGGCGTGGGGTGGGTCTCAGAGCTAGGTAACACAGGGGCCATGGGGCAGGATGAATGGGCACTGGCAGAGGCGTGGGGTGGGTCTCAGAGCTAGGTAACACAGGGGCCATGGGGCAGGATGAATGGGCACTGGCAGAGGCGTGGGGTGGGTCTCAGAGCTAGGTAACACAGGGGCCATGGGGCAGGATGAATGGGCACTGGCAGAGGCGTGGGGTGGGTCTCAGAGCTAGGTAACACAGGGGCCATGGGGCAGGATGAATGGGCACTGGCAGAGGCGTGGGGTGGGTCTCAGAGC